GCCGGCCGGCGCAGGGTGGCGCGGTGGCGTGTGTTGGGGGGGGCGTCTGCGGACAGTGCAGGGGCGCCGCTCCCGCCTGGGGCGTTTGAGTAGGGGCTGCATGCTTGGGGAGGATTGGAGCTGTTTATTCGAAATGTTTTCTGGTGTTTGCTCGTTTGAGAAGAAAATCACTGGACTACCTACTCTTTGCTCTCGGAGGAGGGGGCATCGTTCTGATACATTCATTGGAACACTGAGTACAGTCAGAGAGATTAGAGTTAAATCTAACTTCGAAAGTGAGAGTGAACTAAGGAGATGAAGTGATCATTTAGAAAGACCGACAGGGACCCCCAACCCCCCCAATTACAGAAACTCCCAGATACATGAAGAAACACCAGATTTCACCCTTTCCACAAAGGTTTGAGTATCTGCCAAACTGCTGGGCCGGAGACAAGTTTTTTTTTTGTTTTGTTTTGTTTTTGTTTTTTTTTTTTTTTGCCGCGTTCCCACTGTGTGACCTTGGGCAAGTTACTTCGCCTCTGAGTTAGACTGGAGATCATTCTCTACAGGCCACCCTAATAGGGAAGGAATAGGGATCAGACGCCAAGGTGCCCTGAGAATGCCTGGGAGATGTTTATGAGTCATTTTCGTTCCCTGGTGGATTGGTGGATTAAGAACCGTGGACAGAGGCAAGGCCCGCCTACCTGCTGGTGGGAAATGGCCAGAGGAAAGTTGCAGGACCGTTGTTGAGGGACATGGATGCAAATGCAGCCGGCAGGCATGGGAACGGGAAGGAGCTTTTGGTAGGGTCAGTATTTAGCTAGGAAGACTGCCTGGAACCTGAGCCCACCTTTCTGGCTTCTGGCAGGAGAGGAGAGGGGGAGGATGAAAGAAAAGATCTCTTGTTCTGTGAGCTTTGAGAAACAAGGACAGTGGCCATCTTCTCCACTGTAGAGGGCTGGGCTGGGGTAAGCTGCTCCTCCCAGGATGGCCAGCCCAGGTGTTGGACACTCTTCAAAGGAGGGGATTCTCTGGTTTGGCCTCCTCCTCCTGCTGGCTTCCCTTGTAGCCTTTCCTGCTGGCCAGCTCCTTTTTATAGTCCAAAACAGAAAGGCAGGTCAGCACTTGCCTGCCAAGAACTAGCTTTCTCTGAACCATGTAGGATGACCCACCTATCCTTTAGATATGAAGGCAAGCTGGAACATACCATCACCCCACCAGTCCCAAAAGCAAGGCAGGTGCCCCCTTCCTTAAAGCTCCACAAGTTTCTCTTATGAAGTAAGAGTCACGCAAGATTGGAGGCTAGGCAGATGTGACAGTTGTTTCTGCAATCCTCTGTGAGCTTAGAGTTGTGGCAGGCAGTCTGTCAATGGAAAAGGCAGTGGGTTGAGGTACCCTCTGAACACACTCTAGCATGAGTCAGCCCTGCTGCTGCAGGATGCTCACAATACTGGCCTGAGTGAGTCACCTGGTGCCCTAGAGCCAGGTGGTTCTGTCCTGGGCTCTAGGTAACTGGTGACAAAAGCCCTACAGAAATGAGGCCAGACTTAGGTGTCCTAAAACATGCCCCTCCCTTTAAGTCTGGCCCAGAACTCAGTCCATTCTCCTTTTTTCTAGCTTTTGCTGATGCCAGACAATTCTGAGGACAAGAATTGTGTCCTATTTCATGGTTTACATTTATCCAACAAAAATTGATTTTAGTTCTTTGGTTTTTCGACACAGGGTTTCACTCTAAGCAATCCTCCTGTTTCAGCCTCTGGAACTTCAGGAGTGAGCCACCATGCCTGCTTTTAACAAAAATGTATTGAACACCAATGCTGAGGATGCATGGCAGTCTTGCTCTCATGGAGTTTATATTCAGGCAGAGGAGTCCAAATCAGTAATTAAAAACAAAAGTTGGGCCTGGTCTACATAGCAACATAGGAAGTTCAGGGAGACCCCCGTCTCCAAAAGACAAAAAAAAAAAAACAAAACCAACAAAAACCCACAAAAGTTGCATATGGTGGCCCCCGTCTATGATCCCAACACTTGGGAGGCAGTAGAGGGAGGATTGAGAGTTGGAGGCCATCATGGGCTATATCACAGTCTCAAAAAAAAACAAGGGCTAGGGATGTAGGTCTGTAGTAGGGAGAGCTCTTGCCTAGTATGTGCATGTAAGGCTCTGGGTTTGAGCTCTACTACTGAAAAACAACAAACCCCACAAAAAGACACAGGAGAAGGGAGGAATACTGGTTGTGGTGTAGAGTAAAAGGAGTAAGTAGTGGCAGCAACAGAAGAGCTCAGAGGAAGGAACCACTGCAGGAGTGTCTGCAAAGATCTACTGATGACATGACATTTGACATGCATCCTAGAGGACAACAAGAAGGGTGTTCTTTGTTAAGTAAATAAAGGAATGAAACTGTGAGACTTCAGAGTAGTTACTTCCTTCTCTGAGAAAGCTTAATTTTTGTCTGAGGCCTAAGAACCCTGTTACTATCTTGACCCATTATGGAGGGGACAGAAGGGAGACATCAGGGACATGGTTAGGGGAGGGGAGGAGGGAACTACAGTAGGAGGGGGAATGTGGTAGGCGCTGGTCAGGCTGTGAGACCTTCCTAACTGGCCTTCCCAGGTGTGGTGGGAGAGGACTGGCTGCTGTCCTCCCTGGTTGGAAACAATGCTGAAGCAGAGCCCTGGCAAGTGTTCCTCCTGGAAACTGTCAGGGTGAGACTTGTCTTCCATTCCCACGACTCTTGCTCTGGAGAAAGATTTTGTCTTTCCTGTCCCATTCTTGCCAGAAAGAGTAGGAGGAGGTGGCATTAGACCGAATCAAAGCCCAGACGACTCAAATAGCAGCCGGTGGGCAAAATTGACTAGACACATGTGACAATGTACTGACACCTTCATTTCCAGACTTCAGGAAGCTAGGGTCACTGTGGAAGTTAGCGTAGCTGCAGGTCTGTGGACCAGACATGATGGCAGAGGGGGACTGCCATTCCTCCACTAACTTCCCAATCATTTAGAGATCATGCAGAACCTCAAAGGAGCACCTACTTAGGAGAAAACAGGATATTTTGTTTTTTTAACAGCTGTTTGATCTTCTCCATAAGGATGCTTACTTTTGTCACACAAAATTATTTAAGGAGTGCTAGGGATGAACCTGAGGCTTTACGCATGCTAGGCAATGGCTCTACTACTGAGTTACACCCCCAGCACCCAAACAAAATTACAAAAATTATGTTGGATCAGCCACACTGGTATGTGCTTCTAATCCCAGCTACTTGGGAGATTGAGGCTGGAGGACTCTGAGTTCAAGCCCAGCCTGGACAACTTAGTGAGACCTTGTCTCAAAAATAACAAAAATGTTTGAAGTCTGGGCATAGTGGCTCACACCTATAAATCCCAGCACTCAGGAGCCTAAGGCAAAAGGAATAGTTTCAAACCTGCCTGGCCTATATAGCTGTTTTTCAATATTTTATTATTTTTGTTTTTTATGTGTATTGCCTGCATTAGATAAGTGCACCCATGTTGTGCAGTGCCCACAGAGGACAGAAGAGGTTGTTGGATCCCCTGGAACTGGGGTTACGGACAGTTGTGGATGCTGGGATTTGAACCTAAGTCTTCTGCAAGAACATTCAGTGTTCTTAACCGCTGAGCCATCTCTCCAGCAACCCCCTCCCCCCGCCGCCCCATAGTTTTAAACAGGCCTGAGGCTATAGAGTAAGCAATCAGCTCAAAAAAATTAATTTTGCTATTTTATGTGTTAATGAGTATTTTGCCTGCAGGTATGTTAAGTACAGCATGTGCATGCAATGCCTGTAGAGGTCAGAAGAGGGTACTGAATCCTGTGAAACTAGAATTAAGGATGGCTGTTTGCCACCTCGTGGGTGCTGGGAGCTGAACCCAGGTCCTCTGCAAGAGCAACCAGTGCTCTTAATCGCTGAGTCATCTCTCCAGCCCTATTCAGTGATTTAATGCCTCCTCTTTATTAGCCATCAAAATATGAGCCCCATAGGAAAGAGATTTGGGTTTATTCATTGCTGTATTTAGTGCCTTCAGTATCTGGCACATAATGTGTGGTGGTCATTTGACTGATTGGTTATCTAATTTAAGTTCAAGACTCTGTGTTAAGAAATTCCAGTGCCTTATCTTTCAAGGGATTCTTGTTTTACAGATGAAGAAGTTGAAGAGTTTAAAAGGTTAAGGATTTCCCCCAAGGTCACTCAAAAGACTGTAACTGTATTGTTGAAGGGCAGTGCTCAGAAAATAACAGGCACTGTTCATTGCTATGGAGAATTTGTTCAGAGCCGTTTCGCAATTCTCTTTTCCTCCGGATAATGACAGGCTGCCCCTCTGCACCCAGAGCTCAGGCCTGCTGCCAAAGCTGTAATGTATTTACTGCCTACAGCTCAGCTTTTGGGTACCTGTGGCCAAGAAGCACCTGGGGAGGGAGACCAGACTTCCTTCACAGGACCAGCTGACAGACAGGGCCAGGGTAATTCAGATGTGGAGCTTACTCAGTAGCCCTGTGGCATTTCTGCCCACCAGGAACCAGTGAGTGTTTCCAGAAGCTTCTAGCTCAGAGAGGAAATGAAGCAGTAGAGGGAGATGGTTTGGTTCAAACTTCAAATAAGAGGAAAGTTGACCTTAGGTAAGAAAAACGGCCGGGCATGGTGGCACATGCCTTTAGTCCCAATACTCAGGAGGCAGAGAGGCAGGTGGATCTTTGCGAGTTTGGGGCCAACCTGGTCTACATAGCTAATTCCAGGTCAGCTGGGGCTACAGGGAGACCATCTCAAAAGACCAAAAAAAAAAAAAAAGGTGGAGAGAGGAGAAAGGGAGGGGCAAGTACATACCACCCACTAAATTGAGTTTGGCAAATCAAGCATAGCAGCCCATGTCTATAATCCCAGCACTTGGGAGGTGGAGGCAGGAGGGCAACCACAAATTCCAGGCCAGCATGGGCCAGAGTGAGACCTTGTGCCATTCCCCAGATGCTACCCCCACAAAAGTTTAACAGTTGCCAGCCCACTATGGTAATACACATACCTGTAACCACAGTACTCCAGAGGCTGAGGCAGACTCTAAAATCTAAGAGCAACCTAGCTACATAGACCCTATATCACAACTGAAAAAAGGGTTTTTGTTATTTATATTGTGTGTGAGGTATGTTATGTGAATGGGTGTACACGTCATGATGCCTGTGTGGAGGTCAGAGAACAACTTTCAGGAGTGAGTTTTCTCCTTCCAACATGGAGACTGAATTCAAGTTTTCAGGTTTGTGTGACAATTGCCTTTACTGGCTGAGCCATCTTACTGGATACCCCCACCACCACAGTGAATTTTATTATAGAATTGAGACAAAATGGCTTTGCTATTGAGTTTCAAAAAAAATGCTTCAGATTCCCCTGGAACTAGAGTTAAGGATGGTTCGTTGCCATCATGTGGGTGCTGAGTCGAACCTGGGTCCTCTACAAGAGCAATCAGTGCTCTTAACCGCTGAGCTATCTCTCCAGCCCCTTTTTTGTCTTTTTGAGACAGGGTCTCCCTGTAGCCCCAGCTGGCCTGAACTCACTGTAAGACCAGGCTGGCCTTGAACTCCCAAGTGCTGAGATTAAAGGCATGCGCCACACACACACACACACACACATACCCTATCACTACACACTCCAGCTTCTTCTAAGACACTTCACTTTCACAGCGTCAACACCATCTGAAACAAAGAAAATGAAGCAGCAAAATGTTGAAAATAAAAATAAAGCGGACTTTATTTAAAAGATAAAGGTGGTGGTATCAGTTTTGGTTAATAAAGTTGGGCTCAAGTGTTTTAACAGGTCTTTAAATGCCATCATACAGACTGGCATGCCAATGGCATTCTGAATGCCAATTACAGATTAAAGTTGTTCCAAAAACCAAGATGCTATCAAAAGCTGATGGAGTTTGGATTTCTTTTAAAGTCAGACTAACACATTTCTTAAATAGTAAGAGTAAATAGATTGCTTCGTTCTGAAAGTTAAAACACTACACTGAACAATTCCCCTCCTTTTCTCCACAAATCCCTAGGGCAGTATTACAGTTGCCTCTGACAGCTAAAACTTCAACATTTCAACAGTGGGGGGCTGAGAAAAATGAAAAGCAAAACTAGTCAATGTAATTGGTACAGGCAGCTGCCACTTGTGGCAAACCAAAGTCTAGTCTGATGCCCACTTTCTTCACATTTGCACTGACAACTTCCCAAGCAGACGGTAACTACATTCTTGAAGAAATGTGCCAAGACGCAGGGTGGAGAAGGCCCAGACAGTGAGTGGATAGAATGCATTTTGCATTCACTTGCCTTAGGTGGTACCAACGGATAAGGACAAATACTCTAGACTGTGGAAAACCCAGTAGCTAAAGGTAACTGAAAGGAGTAAAATCATCACCAGTGCAGAATAGCAAGGCACCAAGACCACAATCCACCCAGCCCATTTCCTCCTCTCCAGCATTGAATGCACCTGGGAGAAAGCATTAATAACAGCACTTGTCAACTGCTTCCCTGGAACAAAACATGCAGAAGGTTTTGTTTTCATTATGGTTCTCAGTGTACTTTATTCTCCTGCTGTCTAGCTAAACAGCCCACACAGGACAGAAATGGGTAGCACTGAGGAATGATCAGATTTTTTTCACTTTTCTCCAATATTTCTGCCCCCTCCCTAAGCCCTGCCCCAACCTTGTCTAGTATCAGGAATGGTCAGTAAATCTGAGATAACAGCTAAGATGGAAACAAGGCATTTAGAGGACCAGGCCTCTTTTCAATGGGGCTTATAGCTGGTGTGATTTCTCTGTTCACAATGGATGTCTCTCCTTCACACTTTTTTTTGTACACTGGTTCACAGATCAGATCGGCACTTGACTTTGAACCTGGCACCAAAAGGCACAATATCTGATACCCTGTACAAGAGCTATTAGAGATGCTGTTGTATGGATAGGCAAAATGGAGCTAATCCCACTTACAAATGGAAGGCTTTAGACAGGGAGAGGAAGATGCAAAGGAGAGATGGAGAAAAACCTACGCCTATACTTTACTACAATGGAAATGAAATGAGAATAAGGGTCTTGTATTTTAATCTTCCAACTACCAGGAAGCAATAAAAACTTTTTCCTTTTTTACTATTTCTTTAAAGCAGCATATTCAAAATGCCAGCAAAAATTCCTACCTGCAAAAACCAAAAGGGTCAGCTTAATGAAATCCTTTCTTATTGCTGAAAGATTCTAAAATTCAGGATGCCCTGTTCCCTTGTAAAAGGGAAAATAATTCTGAGTTATGGTAATCACAGCACATCACACTTTAAAAAATACTAAAGCGTGTGAGCAGGGGAATGTTCGACACCATTTTATTAATCTTCAACTTCAGTGGAAAAATATAACCTTTTTCAAGGGCCATTTTCATCGCAGCAGTTGTAGTGTGTACACACACACACACACACACACACACACACACACACACATTTTGTTGGTTAGTTGGTTTTGAGGTGCAGCAAGAGACCAATCCCACATTGCAGTCAATCAAAGAAAAGAACAGGCCAGGCAGTTTCCAAATGGTTATTTTATCAGATTGTTAACATTAAATTTATTGTCATTTGCAATCCAAAAGTTACCTGAAGTTTGCTTTTTTTTTTTTTTTTTTTTTGTGTGTGTGTGTATGTGTACATGTATGTGTTTAACTTTTATTGTACATTTGTTTTCTAAACTCTTTGGCACAATTTTCTGGGGGCATTCAGACTGCCATGTCAGGAGAGAGCTTTTTTTTTTTTTTTGTGATGCCAATTTTTGAGTATTTAAATTTTGGTTTGGGTTGTGACTTTTTCTGTCTTTGAAGTCTGCATTTTTTATCTGTAACAATTGTACTTTTATTTTTCTATATCCTCTAACTCCAGAGTTGTCTTTTTCTCCCCCCTCCCCCCTTCTACATTCACAGTTGAACCGTATCAGGAAAGGCGCCTTGAGGAAAAGCTCAGATAGGAGCTCTGACCATTGTCAGTTTTCCCTAGAATAATTAAAAAACAAAAACAAACCTAAAGAGCGTCTTCCCTATTTTTTTTAAACAGGTCTCTTGTGCTGCATCAGTAGACAGAACTTCAGTTAGTTTATGAAATGCAACATCTAACCCCTTATTTTCTGGGAAAAAGAAACTGCAATGATGAAGTTGAGAATGTGGATACCGCCTCACTCACACACACTCATTCTCAGACTGTAAGATCCCTCACGCTCCTTCTAACCGGCATGTATACAGTACCATGTGGCAAAGGTACAGTGAGGGTGGGCTCAATACCCGGGCTCCATCTTTCTCCTCAGTAGCAAAGGCCAGGCTGCCTTTTACAACAAAGCACCACAGTTGAACCCAGTCCCTCCTCTCCCAACCAGTCATTCCATTCGGCACCAGCCAAAGCAGAAAAGCTAGTTCTAGCCTCCCCTGGGAAGAGACAGCTTTTTTTTTTTTTTTAATTAGCAAGTAAATCCAGTTTCTTTTTTCCAAGATGGCCGATGTTATGGTGTTCTACGAAGTCAGTGTTTACTTAGCTCACTAACAGCGCTGCTGTTGTCGGCTGCGGCAGGATTTCAATGTGGTGTGTTTTCAAGCCTCACTCACTCATCCTCTCATTCCCAAACATTCAGCATCCTTGCACACGCCTCACTTCCGGGTTTTTCAAAAGATTGGAGATTTCCAGTGGGGGTCTCAGGTTATCATCCCAATGGTACCAGATCTAAAAAACAAATGAAGAGGTCAATCCTGAGATCACATGCATCCAACAGAGTGCAAATATCTACAATTCCTACAACTAACTGCTCCTAAGCCTGGATGGGACTTGGCCAATTCTCAGACTAGTTATTTTTCTTCTCTTCTGTGTGCTAGCTACCTGCTCAACAGCATCTATAGTAGCTTAGTGGTAAAAGTGCCAAGCCCGAGTCAGTCGCCAGCAAGGCAAGTAAGGAAATATTCAAGACAGCCAATCTTACTAAGGTTGCCCAATTATTCCACTAGTACATGGCTGAGAATCAAAGGCCTGTCTGTCTCGGAAGCAAGTATGTGGACAAGGTATAAACAAATTATCAATAGGCAGCCATTACCAAATGACCTGCAGAAAACATGCCCTCAAGAAAGCTGAAGAAAGGCCATGAAGACAAGACCGTACCAAGCTTGGTTCTTCAGTTTCCTCAGTTCTTTTGTTGCCCACGTAGCAAGGGTTTTTGCTTTGTTAGTCTTCGATCTTCGTCCTTCAGTTAATAGTTCATGGATCATTGGCCTAGCTTCTACTAATTTCAGTACATCCTTTCCAAATGCTGTACATAAGTCCCTGTACAAAATAAACACACCTGAGAATCACCGCCTGGCCAGACCACACCATGTTTTGATCTTCCAAACCAGGCAGAGCCAACAGGTATTTCTTAGCATTTACTTCTTAAAAGTTAAGGGATCTTGGGATGCTTTATATTACAAGTGTTAGAATGATTCAGCCAAGGTTAAATAATCAGAACTAGAGCAGAGTGTGGTGAGCACACATCTGTGATACCAGTAATGTCAGGAAGAAGCTAAAGCAGGAGGATGAGCTTGATATAAGCATGGGCTACATAACAAGAGCTTCTACAACAAACAAAAAGCCAGGTGTGGTATTGCACACCTTTAATCCCAGTACCCAGGAGGCAGAGGGAGGTAGACCGAGTTCTACGCTAGCCAGGGCTACATAGTGAGATTGTCTCAAACAATAGAAGATGTTCAAACAGGCAATTTGTTGGCAACCATTAGAGTTTAGCAGCAAGAAATTATAGCTCTGCAGGGTCTCAAATGAATCATCAACATGGGCTTTGTAAAAGGGGCTAGGAATACAGCTAGGTGGTGAACTGCTACAGTATGAGGACTGGGGCTTCATCAGCACCAAAGTAGAAACAGAAAAACCTCCTCTGCACCAAGGAGTGGGTTGTTGCCATTTCCACTCTCAAGATTCATTCCCACAAACATCTTCTGTTCCATGATGTCTACTCAAGTACTGGAAGCAGGTCTAACTTACCCTATCAGCCCAGCAGCACAGGCTACTACTCCATCTGTATGATCCTCGTCTCCAGCAATGTGGTCAATAAAAGACAGAATAAATTCTACTCTGGGCTGTACCAGCATTACATCCGCTGTAAAAGAAAAAGGAAGTCTCACGAAAGTGTCCCGTATTTGGCAGGCTTGGTGTCTTCAGAAGGAACATTCCTCTGAGCAATCAATGTCAAAAGAGTTCTAAACTACAAATATTTCCTCCCACAGGGCATGAACTGTATAACTGCTGCCATGGTTGGAATAGAAAGACACCAGCATTTTCTGTACTTTTTTCCCAACAGCCTCACTGGATCTCATTTTTGCAATGTTCAAATGCCAAGACAGGATTGGGTGGTAGCTCAGCTCACTGGTAGAGAGCTTTTCTACCATGCGTGAGGCCCTGAGCTTTATTCCCAGCATCTCCCTACCCCTATGACAAAAAAAGCACAGAAAAGCAGGAGTGGAACAGAAATAGAGAGCTTCCCATTAGCTCCCATTAGCATTAGGGTCCTGCTCCTCTTTTCTTTCCTCCTGTAAGTAGCAGTGGGCTACAAAAGGTAAGCTGCAGGTCATCTGCCTCTGTGCACCAGTCAGTGGATTGCGGCAACTGGGGTATATACTCAACGGTGTACGTTCTCTTGATCTCCCTTCAATCCCTGGACAATTCCAGTATAAGCTTCCAAGCAGCCTTCTCTTAGCTCATTCAGATAATCCACCATGTCAAAGTCTGACTGGAAGAGACAAAGAACAGAACCTGGATCACACTGATTATCTTGAGTTGTATATCTTTAAACAGTCTTTCCACTTCAATTAGAGCTAGACTCAAAAGATCAGCAGAACAATTTCAACCTTACCTTGTCCACCTGTGCTTGGGAGGCCTGTTGCAGAGTATTCAATACCACCTCTAGGTATTTCTTAAACTCTCCACCAATCGCAAGGGCAATATCACCAAACACAGACAGAATCTGTGGCTTCACAGACCTGTGGACATTCTCATTCTAGCAAAGAAAAAGACAAGGGAAAGGAAATTTATAAGCATCAAAACTTTTTGGTTCAAAACTCAAGAAACTTTGGATATAATACAAATTAATTGTAGTTACTGCTAGATAAATCATATATTTACTTTCTACTTTTGCAACCATTAGAAATATGAAAATAAATGAACCTACAACTTTGTCACAGATCGATATTTAAATATTTCATTTATTATTTTTGTTTTATGTGTATTGCCTGCATGTAGGTAAGTGCACTCATGTCATGCAATGCCCGAGGACAGAAGAAGCTATCGGATCCCCTGGAACTGGAGTTATAGACAGTTGTTAGCTGCCATGTGGGTGCTGGGATTCTAACACGGGTCTTCTGCAAGAACAACCAGTGTTCTTAACCACTGAGCAATCTCTCCAGCCCCCAGATCTTGTTATTTAAATTTCTTCACAACTGACAGACTGTGTAGATGCTCACCCCCAAGTTCTCCAGGAGCAGCTGCATCACCTCATCGCAGAAAGGTAAGATGTTAGATTGTAGGGCTCGGCATAAGTCTCCAACTAAGCCAACAGCTGCCAAACACACCTGCAAAAGAATGAGGAAATGATTTTCCAAACAGAACACGATTTTTACCTAGTCAATGGACCCTTACCACTTGAACCAGAATCAAAGAAGGAAATGTCCTTTCCCTGCTATGATAAATTTTTAATGACCGATACTGCAAGCAATTAGGAACATCTGGACAATCAACAAGGAAGGATGGTGGTCACGGCAGAAGCAGGTTTAAAACAGCACTGCTAGTTAAGAGTAGCTATGACATAACTTGGCATGTGCCCTGTAATCAATCACTATCTAGTAATTGTGATTTCTTATCTGGCAGATCCAATGCCCTGCTTTTCATAGACTACTTCCAGTTCAGAGGCTAAAGCTACAAAATTACTTGGCTGTAGGAAGCTAATTTTGCCTGACTACACTACTGAGCATTAATCAGAATGTAGGATTTTGAAGGTTGGGGTGCAGCTCAGTGTTGGAGTACATGCTGAGAATTAGCATGTATGAGGCCCTGAATTTGATCCCTGGCACTTCAAAAATACACCAAATCCAAGGATACTATTTGAAAAAGTATCTCCTACCTGGTACTCAGCATAATTTTTCAATCCAATGCCCAGGAACGGTTTAAAGGCTTCCATATACTTGAGGAATTCACCACCCAACACTGTTAATGAAACAAACTATTAGCTCATGACAACAATACGGGACATGAGATGAATCAAACAACTGTACTGGCCTCTCAAAATGCATTCACTTCTCAACAGGTTGGGTGGAATATGCGTTAATTGCTAGTTCCACCATGAAGACATTCAATCTGTCTCATGTTAGCCAAGTTTGTAACTGCTGGAAGGGCCAAACTCTTCAATCCCAGACAGTCTCAATGGTCCTAAAACTGAGGACCACTAACTGTGGCTAAAACAAGAAAGTGGCAGACTCAGAGGAAAGGGTGATTCTGAAATTGAGCCAGCACTCTGCTTCTTGTCCCCTCCTCCATCTGAATATGTCCTCTCTGGAGCTCAGCTTCAAAACAGTCTCCTAGGTAATGCCATCAAGGAGTTAATAAGCCATAACCAGGAAAAGCAGCATAAGGGTGAGGGTAGCTCAGTGGAAGAACACTTGCCTAAGATATTCAAGCCCCTGGGTTCAATTCCCAGCACTGGGAAAAGAGAAAAAAAGAAATGGAAAAGAAGAAAAAGTATAGCGCTTTGGATCCAAAGAATCCACTCTAGGAACCCAAACAAACTTCTCTGCCTTCAGGGTGGCCACACACACCCTGGGAACCAGGCTCTCCTACAACCCTGCCGCCTTCCTCTTTCTAGTTGTTTTTGATTCTGTTTGTTTTTATGTGTGTGTTTTGCCTACACGTATGTTAAGTTTACCATGTGCATGCAATGTCTGTGGAGGCCAGAAATGGACACTGGATGGACTTCCCAGAACTGGAGTTAGACAATTGTTAGCCACCATGGGGTTGTGGGAACCGAACCCCAGTCCTCTGAAAGAGAAGTCAGTGCTCTTAACTGTTGACTCATCTCTCCAGCCACTCTTATGTTTCAAAATTTACTTAGTGTGTATGTGCACATGTACAGAGGCCAATGAAGTCAGAAGAGGGTGTCAAGATTCCCAGGAACTGGAGTGAACTGGTGGTTGTGAGCTGCCCAACGTGGGTTCGAGAAATATAAAATCTGACCCTCTGACAAGGGAAGCAAGTGCACGTAACTACTGAAGCATCTTTCTAGCCGTTATTTTGAGACAAGATCTCACTCTATAGCTGAGGTGGCCCCCTGGAATCCACAATCCTCTTGCCTCAGCTTCTAAAGGCCAAGCTTTTTCCTTTTTCTGGCAAGACAAGATTCCTGTTTCCCAGGCTGCCTTGAATTCACAATGTGTGATATAGCAGAGGGTGTAACCTTAAGTTCCTGATCCTGGCCTCCACCACCTAAGTTTTGGGATTGCAGGCATGTGCCACCATACAGTTTATGCCATGCTAGGAGATCAAAACCAGGGCTTTGTGCATGCAAAGCAAGCATTCAGCCAACGAAGATACACGTCCAGCATCCTTTTTCCCCAAACAGAGTTGCTATGTACCACATGCTGACTCAAACAATTCCTCCTGCTCTGCCTCCAGAGTGCCTGGACATAGGTGTGCACCATTATACTTAGCTTTGGACATAGGCTCTTTATGACAGAGTAAGTCTGGTTCTCAAATAATGGCCTTATTAACACCTTTAGGTTACACCTGACAAAACACTCCCAATTTCTAAAGTGCTTTTTAATATGTTTTCAATGTCCTTAAAAAAGTCTGAAGTCAGATAAGGCTTCCCCAAAGCAATTTTGTAGTCAGACCACAATCAAAAAGATTAATTAATTCCTAAAACTCATTTAATATCAAGTACAAAGCAATATAGTCCACACCAGAAAATACCAAGCGCCAGGAAAGACTCTTCTGTTTCCTCTTCCCCTCAACAGGGAAGAAAGAACCTGATGAACCTTAAGTAGGTAATAATTTCCCTTGAGAAGACTGCCAATCTGATGGTGTTAACCAGCTGGCCATTACTTTAAGGAGGGTGGCAAGAAAGGCAGTTATACAACTTACACTTCAACTGATTCATGCCCTAGTAAAAGGATAGTCTTTCCAGCATTTTAAAGATAGGCTCCCTGTCCTCTGCTGCTCACTCACCTTCCACCAGTGTGGCTCCCTGTCCTCTGCCCCTCTGTTGCTCACTCACCTTCCACCAGTGTGCTAACTGCCATCAGGGCATCTTCTTGCACTCCCCCAGACCCAGCTGTGCTTTGGAACATCCGTAACAGGGAGGCCATGACCACATCAGAGATTTGCAAAGCATCTTGATGTTGCACTTTCCGAAGAACATTCTATGAAATGAACAAGAATGTCAATCCCAAACCCTCCAATGTGAATAGCATGCCTTTACTTTGGGAGGGGGAAATCAATTAAGTCCTTTTGAGTCTTTTTTCTTTTCTTCTCTTTTTTTTTGAGACAGGGTCTCCCTGTATTCCCAGCTGACCTGAACTCACTATGTAGACCAGGCTGGCCTTGAACTCAGAACGATCTGCCTGCCTCTGGCTCCCGAGTGCTAGGACTAAAGGTGTGCGCCACTGCGCCCGACCTGATTCTTTTTTTTTAACATTTGCAAAGCCAAACATTTTATCCCTGAAGAACTTGGACAAAGCCAATCATCTGCAATCAAACATTCATTTTAACAATCTCTTCTGTTTCTCCATTTACCAAAACCACAGAATAATCCTCCATGATGCGGAAAAAAAAAACAAAAAAAACAAAAAAAAAACCCCAAAACCAAAAACTTCTTTGGCTTCCACCTGTGCCCACCTGACATCCCATCAGCCCGCTCTATACTCTAGTCCTACTTGAGTAACAAGCATTCAGTGTGCAGGAATTCTCACACAAAAAGTAACTCCCTACAGTCTAAACTTGAGGTTAAGATTTAAAAAGGGCCGGGCATGGTGGCATACGTCTTTAGTCCCAGCAGAGGCAGGCAGATCTCTGTGAGACCACAGGGAGACCCCATCTCAAAAAGACCAAAAGATCCTCCCCCCAAAAACCCCAAACCTTAAGGAAATTAAAAGTCAGTTCACAGGTAAGATGATCTAGTTAAGTATCGCTGAATACTACAATCCAATACCCACTTAAGCTTCAGGTAAGTTCCAGACTTTTCCTTTTGTTCCCTAATACAAAAAGCATTAATAGCTCCTTCACCATTTCCGAAGCAGATAATGACATTTTATTATAATTTTCCTAGTCCCTCCTTGAAAAAGACTGTTCTGAATAAAAAGCACAATAAAACGTCAGAAGCATATGTTTCAAAAGATGATGGTATGAGTTCAAGCCATTTGGGAAGGCATGCAGGGACTGAACCCAAGGGCCTTGTACATACTAGGCAAGCACTTGTCTACTGAGTGATATAACCCTGGCCCTTAAAGCTATATACGTTTTAATAAAAATTAATTTATTTGTATTTTATGTGTATGAGTGTCTTTCGTGCATGTCTATACGTGTATGTGTGTGTATATGTATGCAATGCCCATGGAGACTAGAAGAGGGTATCAGTTACCCTGGAACTGGAGTTAAGGACAGCTGTGAGCCATCATGGGGTTGCTGGAAACTCAGGTCCTCTAGAAGAACAAACACCCTTCGCTGCTGAGCCATTTCTCCCCTAGCCTCTCAGGGTTATACTTTTCATTAAGTGAACCACAATTGGGAACCTAATTTGACTGAGTCAGGCTTGAACCACTTTACAAAAACCAATAGCAAAAGCTGCTGACACAAGGAGAGTACAACTGAAAGGACCCATTATACTGAGGCCCTTCCATCCCTACAGAAAACAAGTTAGATCTTGCTAGAAAGACATGAAAGATGAGAAATTCTTCCAACGAGTGACAGATCAAAGCCTTCTGAGAACAGTTTCTGGTCAGAATCACGACACTATTTCAGAGCTGTGTACATATGAACCTGTCATACTAATAGAATGGATCTCTTCCTTGGAGCTACCAAGAAGTAAAGAGGCACACCTTTAATCCCACACTCAGGAGGCAGAGGCAGGCGGATCTCTGAGTTGAGTTCGAGGCCAGCCTGGTCTACATAGCAAATTAATGGCTAGCTGGGGCTACAGGGACAGCCTGTCTCAAAAAAAAAAAAAAAAAAAAAAAAAAAAAAAGTAAGAAGGCACCATCATACCTGAAGAGTTGCACAAAGCAAGGACTGAAGGTCATTGAACTGGATCCTATCTGACGTGCTCTGGATATGTGACTACAAGGAAAAGAAATCATGTCTTAATGAAATCCTTCTATTCTTTACAAACACTTTATTAACTTATTTCTATGTATGGGTGTGTCCAGTACATAAGCATAGTGCCCACAGTGCTCAGAATAGGGTATCAGATCTGCTGGAACTGGAGTGACAGGTAGTTTATGAGGTAGGTACTCAATGTACTAGACCCAAACTCTGTTCCTCCGAAAAAGCAGTACTTGTTCTTAATCAATGAGCCACCTCTTCAGCCCCAAATTTCCACTTTTGTTCAATTACCAGGAATATTAGGTAATCCTTACTAACATGAATGCAGTGAATAGCATAAGACCAGAAAACAAACAGTGCAAATGTTGTGTTGCAATGTTTTTTGTGTGGTGCCTGACTCGAGAGCCTTGTCTAAAGTTGCAATGTTCATGTGTAAGTCAAGTCAAAAGGGCTGTCCTTCCCCAAGCCAGGATATTCCCAAGTCTTACCTCCATCTGAAGCACCTGCTGCAGTCGTTCCATAATGACCAGAGTTGTTTTCTGCACTGCAGGATAACAGTCCTTGGCACTATTTTTTACAATTTCCATTAGAGATTCATATGCAGAACTTCTCAGGTTGTTCTGGTGTCCGTCAGGTCTGTAAGGAACACATGCCAAAAATCATAAAGCCTCAACTGAGAAAAGGACAATCAAGTAGTTCGTAAAATGGACAAAGTTTTTCAAACCCCCAAAGACTGGGGGTTTAGATGGAGTCCTTGCCTACCATGCACAAAACCACGGATCCAATATTTAGTACTGCAAAATAGGAAACCAAAAACTAGCACCAGGACAAACTTGGTATGAACTTTGCAACAAGGGATCAATGAATCACAAGTGTGGTGGCTTACATATATAATGCAAACACTTAGTAGACCTTCTAACAAATACAAGACCAGCCTGGGCTAGAGACCATGCCAAAAAACAAACAACAAAAATGGCTGGAGAGATGGCTCAGCACTTAAAGAGCACTGGCTGCTCTTACAGGAGCAGGATTCAGTTCCCATTACCCATTTGTTTGTGGCTAACAAAGGTCCTTAATTCCAATTTCAGGGGATCCAACACCCTCTTCTAGTGCCATAGGTATTACATGACACAGGTGACTTGCATACATGAGAAAATACCCACATATAAAACTTTAAAAATTTTAAAATTTAAGGGGCTGAAGAGATGGCTCAGCAGTTAAGAACACTGTTCTTACAGAAGACCCAGTTTCAAATCCCAGCACCCACATAATAACTGTCTATAACTCCAGTTCCAGGGGATCCAACAGCCTCTTCTGTCCTCCGAGGGCATGGCATGACACGGGTGCACTTACCCACACACAGGTAAAACAGGTAAACACATAAAATAAAAATAGTAAATAAAATTCCTTTTTTAATGTTAAAAATTAAACAAGTGGATGTCTATAAACCAAAAATTCAAAAGTTTTAGGCCAGTGAGATGCCTGAGTGTTTTAAAGGCACTTGCCATGAGGCATGATGACATGAATTCAAGCCTATGATCCCACATGGCGTAAGGAGAGAACAGATTCTGACATCCTGTGTAAAATTGTACACACACACAAAATAAACCAAGTCCTTTGAACCGAAACTATGCTTATGGTTTCGATTATTAAAATTTAGAACAGGGGCCAGTCAGATGGCTGTCGGATTCCCTGAGACTAGAGTTACAGACAGTTGTTAGCTGCCATATCAGTGCTGGGATTCAAACCCAGGTCTTCTGCAAGAACAACCAGTGCTCTTAAACCGCTGAGCTGTCTCTCCAGCCCCTGAAAATTTTTAAATCATATTTTGTTTATATTTGGGTCTTTTTGAGACTGGGTCTCCCTCTAACCTCAGCTGACCTGGAACTTGCTATGTAGACCAGGCTGGCCTCAAAGTCACAGAACCTGCTTCTGCCTCCCAGAGTCACAGCCTGCTTCTGCCTCCCAGAGAGCTGGGATTAAGGGTGTGCACCATCATGCCTGGCTATTTTTTGGGTCCTTTTAAGATAGGGTCTTCCTGTAGCCACAGCTGACCTGGAACTCTCTATATAGACCAGGTTGGCTTTGGACACAGAGATATTTTTATTTTGCGTATTATCTTTAAATTTAAAAATATTTAGCCAGATGTGGTAATGTATACCTCTAATTCCAGCACTCGAGATCGAGTGCATGAATCTATTACCTGCATGAATGTAAGTGCACCAGTGTTAATACAATGCCCATGGAGGCCAGAAGAGGGCACCAGATCCCCTGGAATTGGAGTCACAGCCAATTGTTCGCCACCATATGGGTGCTGGGAATCGAACCCGGGTCCTCTGCAAGTGCAGCTAGTGCTTTAAACCACTGAGCCATGTCTCAAGCCCCAAGCAAGCTGAAAATTTTTTTTTAAATATTTTATTATTTCGGGGCCAGAGAGATGGCACAGCAGTTAAGAGTACTGACTGCTCTTGCAGAGGACCTGGGCTCAATTCCCAGACCCACATGGTGGCCTTAACTCCAGTTCCAGGGGAATCCGATGCCCTCTTCTGACTGCCTCGGCGACATGGGTACACTCACGTACATGCAGGCAATACACTCAAACACATAAAATAAATTTTAAAAATATTTCGTTATTTCTATTTTGTGTGTGTGAGCCTCCACGGCGACACGGGTGAACTCATAAATGCAGGCAAAACATTCAATCACATAAAATAAAAATAGATAAAATAATTTTAAAAAATATTATTTCTATTTTGTGTGTGTGAGCCTCCACGGCGACACGGGTGAACTCATAAATGCAGGCAAAACATTCAATCACATAAAATAAAAATAGATAAAATAATTTTAAAAAATATTATTTCTATTTTGTGTGTGAGTGTAATGACTGCATGTATGTTAGTGCACCTGTGTTGTACAGCCCACACAAGTAAAATTTAAAAGCCAAATAATGGCTTGAACAGGTAAAGAACCCACATAGGTAATTCAAAAAGTTGCCTGCACAGCCATGATGGAGATACGAAAGTGACAATTACTGATCTGGTATGGCAAATCAATTCATGACATGTGCCAGTACTTCAGGACTTCTCTATAATACTTTATAAATTGCAAGCACGTTTGGGATTTTTTGTTTGTTTGTTTGAGATAGAATCTCACCATACAGCCTTGGTTGATCTTTGACTTGAAATTCTCTTGCCTCAGCCTCTCCAGACATGCAATACCAAGCCCAGCCCTAACTGCAATCTGATGATCGCAGGTAAGAAGTCTTCATTTCTTGCTGGGCCTACTGGTCCACACCTTCAATTCCAGCACTCCAGAGGCAGACGGATCTCTGTGAGAGGCCAGCCTGGTCTACATAGTGAGATCCAGGCTAGCTGGGGCTACAGACAGACCCTGTCTTAAGAAGTCTTCATTTTTTTCTTTCTGCATCTCTCTTTTTGGTTTAACCTGCTATAGTAGAGATAGGATTCTTTTAATGCCTCCAGAGAAGGTAAATAAACTACCTTGCTCTTTCCCCCTCATCTCACACTCCACACAGAGGGCAGGAGTCGGCTATTAAGACGACATCTGCTTCTGTGGATTATCAATTACCTGTCTGTGGTCTCCAGAAGCTTCTGAACTATGAGTTCAAATGAAGAAGATAAACAATAGGTGGCTGGTTCTTCCTGATCATCTGCTACATCTGCAGCTTCATACGCAGCTTCAGCCAGACTGGAAAAAGCCTGAAATGCAGGTAGATCTATTATTAGTCCAAAGGGAACCCCATTGTAAGACTGCCTAATTTTTTCTCAAGATACCTTGAACAATGTTCTTTAACTTACAAACCACTGTTAACTCCAACTTTTTCTGAAAAGGTCATTAAAAAAAATTTAACTAATTTAACAAGAAAATGTAATAACTAAATTATCTTTAAATTTTAAAATATTTAGCCAGATGTTGATGAGATCAAAGCCAACCTGGTCTACATAGTAAGTTCTAGGCCAGCTGGCAACAGGAGGATCCTGTGTCAACTCACCCCTACAAATTAATTTTATTTTGTACTTCCCAATAATCTAACTCTCTAAGTAGCAGAGTATTTTCACCTACCACCATTTCCCTTCTTTCCATACTTCAAATTTCTCCCCCAAACCTTCTAGGTCCTAGTAACTACACATACCTATGCTGTCTCAGGGCAGAGGCCACCTATCTCCTTTTGCTTGCTTTTTTCCATGGTTCCTCTTAGAGCCAAAACTTCAATAAAAACTTCTTGTCTATAAGGAACTCAAGGAAGAGAAGCATGTCCAGATAGTATCCCAGCTGAGTTACCATGACTGCTCTAAGTGCTTTGGGAAATCAGTCAACCACGAGCCAACAGCTCCTCCTGGCTCCTACAGTTGCTATCTCCCCCCCATTTAACTACAGGTATCAGGGACATGGAACTCAGAATTCTCCCAATGAGGTAGATGTTCTTCTCTTCCACACCTCCTACTTTCTTCCCAATGGCTCTGGCAAGCTCCTTTCTTACCAGGAAGAAAATCCCTTACCCAGCACACATTTGAGGCCACTCTGGGTTCAGCACTGAGGCCTTCAATCAGACACTGCAGCAGGGGTGCCAAGTAGACATCATTGATGGCAGCTTCAGGGAGCAGCTCACAAATCCTGCCCACAGTCCATGCTGTTGTGTCTCGAACAACTACACTGGGGTCTTTCATTAATTCTATTAGGGTAGGCATAGCCTATAAACACAGTAAAGTGAAACAAATTGAACTCTTAAAAACCCACAACACAACGCCCCCCCCCACGTACGTATTTTTTTTTAACTCAAAAAATAACCAAACACACGTTCCCGGGTTGAACAGCTGGCTCAGCAATTAAGAACCCTGGCTGCTCTTGCAATAGAAAACGGGGTTCAGTTCCCAGCACCCACATGTGGCTCACAACTGTCTGTTTACTCCCATTCCAGAGGACCTGACACCCTCTTTGGGCCTCTGCAGGCATTGCATTCACATGGTGTACTTATATAAATACAGGGAAAACATTCATATACATAAATAAAAATAAGTGGTTAAAAGCACTGGCTGTTCTTGCAGAGGACCTGGGTTCAATTCCCAGCACCCACATGGTAGCTAGCAATGGTTCATAATCCAAGTTCCAGGGGATCTGATGACCTCTTCTGATGTCCTTGCGCACTGCACGACACAGGTGCATTTATATACATGCAGGTAATACATGCATATACACATTAAAAAATAATAAAGAAATACATGCTTCTAAAACATCTAACAGAATTAAAGCAAAAAATGAAAAAGTTCTATTCCTTTCATCAAATTCCAATACAGAAAGAATTTGAGCCAGGGGCTGGAGAGATGGCTCAGCAGTTAAAGAGAAATAGCTGCTCTTGCAGGACCTAGGTTTGATTCCCAGCAACCCACATGGCATTCAACAACCATTCAACTCCAGTTCCAGGGGATCCAACACCTTCTGAATCTCCATGGGCATTACACACATGGGTGCACTATGATACATGCAGGCAAACACTCACATACAAAATAAATCTTTAAAAAATTAAAAAGGGGGGCTGGAGAGATGGCTCAGAGGTTAAGAACACTGGCTATTCTTGCAGAAGACCCAGGTTCAAATCCTAGCACCCACATGGCAGCTCACAACTGCCTGTAACTCCAGTTCCAGGGGATCTGACAGCTTCTTCTGTCCTCCGTGGACACTGAATGACATGGGTGCACTTATCTACATCAGGCAATACACACATACACATAAATATTTAAAAAAAAAAATTAAAAAGGAATGGTATCATGGTGGCACACCTAGGCCAGCTTGGTCGACACAGCAAGTTCCAAGGCCAGGTGGAGCTACAGGGAGACCCTGTCACAAAAGAAAACCCAAAACAATGACCCCCTTGTCCCTCCCCAAAATTTAAGAGAGTATGGCCCAAGCATTATGATGCACAACTTTAATCCCAGCACTCAGGAAGCAGAGGCAGACAGATCTCTGTCAGTTCAAAGCCAGCCAGGGCTACACAGTGAGAGCTTGTCTGGATGCTTTCAAACAGTCTACACTGAGTAAGAAAGAAGTAGTTACAAGCCATCAGCTCAAAAATCCTGAAAGGCTGAATTCTGTATGTATGGATTCAACATAGTGGGTTCTTCTACCATTTATACCAGTAAAATAAACAAATTTCCACAGAGAGACTATCACTACAGAAATAATCCATTTTGTTTAAAGAACAGAATATCTCCATTCTAAGAATATGGCCATAGCCGGGTATGGTGGCAGAGGCCTTTAGTCCCAGCACTTGGGAAGCAGAGGCAGGTGGCTCTCTGTGAGTTCCAGGCCAGCTTGGGCTACAGGGAGACCCTTTCTCAAAAAGACCAAAAATTATGGGAGTAGTGGTACAAGCCTGTATTCCCAGTACAGGAAGATCAAGAGTTTAAGGACAGCCTTAGCTACATAGCTATGCTGAAGGAGCCTGTGCTACCTGAAACCTTGATTAAAAATAAGCATAAAGGCCAGGCTTGGGGTACACACCTTTAATCCCAGCACGTGGAAGGCAGAGGCAGTTGGATCTCTGAGTTTAAGGCCAGCCTGGTCTACCTAGTGAGTTCCAGGCCAGATGGGGCTACAGGGAGACTCTGTCTCAAAAAGACCAATAAATAGAAATAAGCATAAACAAAAATATTATTAAGTAGAATATGTTGCCACATCCCTTAATTCCCATCTACTTGGAAGGCCAAGTAACAAGATTACCAGAGCCCTAGAGTTTGCAGCCAGCTGAGTATGGTAACTCACGCTTATAACTCACAAGGCTGAGATTGCCACCAATCTAGGCTACCCAGGCTATAAAATGAGCTAATCACAAAAGCCTCAAAACAGTAGGAAAATGTCTGACATGACTTTAAAAATAATAATCAGAAGATGGATCTGCATAGTAACTACGCCTTCCTTTTGTACACACAGCACAGAAAACAAAGCTGCAATGTATTAAGCGTTTTTCTTGGGTAAGAGTAAATTCAAAGTTGACTTTCTTCTTGGTCTTTTCTATGTTTGTCAAGTTTTTGGGTCCTAAGACTTATAATTTAAAAGCCAAAGTATCTTATCCTTAATGATAACAAGCAACCTGTTTTGTTGTTGAGACAGTATCAGATAGCACAGGGGGGTCTTAAACTTATTATGTAGCTAAGGCTGGTAGCCTGACCCTCTTGACTCTACCTCCCAAGAGCTATAATTTAAGTACTTACTACTATGTCCCTATTTGGAAATATCCTTGTGACTGACTATAGCTTAATTTAAACACACACACAACACTCTTCCACTTACCACTCTAAAATCCCCTCAAGCTTTACCTGTATAACTAGTGGTTTGAGCTGATTAGGCTCTGGTCCTTCCAAGATACATCCAAAGGCCATTACTGCTGCATCCCGATATCGCCAATCAGGGTTCTTGATGTGTTCTTTAATGAAGGGGAGGACATGTGGCACAATGTCATCTTCACAGCAGGTGGACAGAAGCATGAGGCACACCCCTGCTGCTTTGCAGGGGTTCCAGTCATCGTCGTCATCGTTTTCATCCTGGTCAAAGAACATGGCACTAGGTAAACGTTTCTACAGAAAAATCACTCAAAAGGCCCTCAACACACTCCAAAGTTATCTGTAGAATTTAAAAGTTCAGGTAAGTAAATGAAACATAAATCCCTTTTAAATTTTACAAAGATTCATCCCAGAGAGTCTATGTCAACCTAATTAATATGTGGAAGAGCTTCAACTTAGTATCATATATCAAGGAGAATGAAGAACTCAGACATATATAACAAAACAGCCCAGCCTGGTGGAGCACACCTTGCCTGCAACACCAACACTTGTGAGACTTAAGGAAGGAGTGTTGCCATGAATGAGTTTTGAGGCCAGCAAGGTCTACCAAAAAGGAACGTGCCTCAGAACACCACCAAGATCTAGCTCAGCTGGTAGAGTGCTTAGTCCTGTGTGCAGTCCCTCAGTACTGCATAAGCGAGTGATATATTAGCACACCCCCCCCCCCCCAAAAATTCGCAGCACTCAGGCGGTAGGGTGAGGTGTACCAAAAAAGTCAAGGTCATCCTGCTACACAGCAGGTTTGAGATCAGCTTTTTTCATGTAGATGAAACCCCTTCTCAAAAAAGGAAAAAAAGTGTTGGGTGTGGTGGCACAGGCCTTCATTCCCAGGAGGCAGAGGCAAGCAGATACTTGGGAGTTTGAGGTAAAGAAAGAAAGGAGGGAGGGAGGGAAAGTCAAAGAAAGGGGAAGGGTGGGACCTGTTCCTGAAGGAGAAAAGACACAAGAGATAATAAAGTAACCAATGTAAAGTTGAAAAACAATTTAAAAATTAAGGGGACATCCAACTCATTTCATCCATACTTAAACTTTTAGACTGCTATATTGAAAGAAATGGGCATATCCCTAAAAACTTAAATTCTTGTGTAAAAGCAGTTTTCAGTGCTCTAAGTCAATAGTATTGTTTCCCCAGAACTGGCTGAGCTTGGTAAGATTTCACTCATACTAAAAGCGAAGAGGTAGTAGAAAAATACCTCCCCGAGTATCCAACCAAGAATTCCTATGAAGCATAAAGTCAACAGTGGTGAGACACCATAGCTTACATCCTCACAATGCTACTCTTATTTTGTAATGAACTGTTTGGGAGATTTTATTATTTTTAATGTATGAGTATTTTGCCTGCTTGCATGCAAGTCCACTAAGAAGGCATCGGATCCTCTGGAAGTGGAGTTACTGATTGTTGCTAGCCACCACGTGGGTGATGGAAACTGAACCTGGATCCTCTGCAAAAGCAGTAAGTATTCTTAGCCACAGAGCCATTTCTTAAGGCCCTTATTTTTATTTTTAATTATGGGTATGTGTGTGGGTCCTTGGGCTGAGTTCAAGTGTTCCTGGAGGCCAGAGATATGAGATTCTCCTGGAGCTGGAGTTCCAGGTAGTTGTGAGCCACCTAACATGGGAGTAGTAACTTAACTCTAGTCCTCTGCAGGAGTGCATGCTCTTACCACTAAGCCATCTCTCTCCTCCCATGTGTAGTAACTGAACTGATGTTAATGACTTTGAGGAATTAGGGTTTTCTGTTTGAAGACAGGGCCTCATGTAGTCCAACTGGTCTCAAACTCAGTAGGCGCCCAGGAGGACCTTGAACTTCTGATCCACTGGCCTAAGTGTTGGGATTACAGACATGCCCTCTCACGTCCGGCTTTATGTTATTAGAGATCCAACACAGGGCCTGGGGTCAGCTGAGTTAAAATAGAATTCTTTATTAGGATTTGAATTAACTCCAACCTCATCAGCTTTTAAAAAAACCCACATGAATGGTGTCTAACAACCCTCCCTAACTCCAGATCCAGAAGCATTCAATACCCTCTTCTGGCCTCTGTGGGCATTGCACATGTGGTACACCTACATACATTCATACACATAAAATTTAAAAAAATACATATACCCAATGATTTCATAAAGATATTGCAGATAGGAACAAAAGTACTTATGTGGCCTATGTATATCTAGAATATCTGTTTTTCCAATCTTTCTTTGCTTTTTTAAGTGCAGAGAATGGTACATAAGTGCAGAGCTTTGTACTTACTGAACAGGCACCCTACTACTGAGCTGTACTACACCCACAACCTGTCTTTATTGCAAGTTATATAGAACACATGTCCTCTGTTAGTGTAGATACTGTAGGATTCAGGAAATTAGAGCCATGTGTGGTTTGTTCCCAATCAAGCTGCACAAGATACTCAGGCACAGTTCTCCTTCACAAACAACTCAGCATCTCAGCTCAGTTATTCCTGAGTCATCTGTAACAGAACATCAAATGGGTTGCCAAATTCCTCCATGGAAACTGTTCCACAGTGAAACAACCCACCCAAAATAAAATTTTTTCTCTTAGTTTATGTAGTCAAGAAGCTCACCTGTTTAGTTAGTGTCTGTGTAAGGATGGGAACCAGGTATTGTAGTGCTCCCTTAGCGTAAAACTTGCTGGTGTGCTCAGGGGGGCGTCCTTGTTCTGCTGCCTAAGAAGAAACAGCAAATTTTAGATAAAAGCAAATAAACTGTAAATCTACAGGCATACCATGAGAAATGCCTAGAGGTCTGTAACAGATATGAGGCCAAAGGTAATATTCATGATGATATTTCAAGGTACTCACTCTTTTATTGATCTACATCAATAAAATTAATTTACCCTCCGCCTCCACCTCAACCTACCTTCAAGGACAAAGTCAACGTTTAGAATTATGGGCTAGAGATGCAGCCCAGTTTTTAGTGCGCTTATCTAGCACGTATGAAGCACAAAGCCCTTTGTTTGATTCCCCAGAACCAAATGAATGGGGACAGTGGTACAGGCCTTTAATACCAGAATTGGAAAGATAGAGGCAGGGGTATGTTGTTATACCCCTTGGCTATATGTTCTTTTCCACAGACTCAATTCATATTAATAATCTGATATCTAGGGCTGTGGAGATAGCTCAAGTCAGGGAAGTGCTTGATTTACAAGCATGAGGACCTAAGTCTACAACCCACATTTATAAAATTGGGTGTGAGGGCTGGAGAGATGGCTCAGCGGTTAAAGACACTGGCTGTTCTTGCAGAAGACCCGGGTTCAAATCCCAGCACCCACATGGCAGCTAACAACTGTCTGTAACTCCAGTTGCAGGGGATCCAACAGCCTCTTCTGTCCTCCTTGGGCACTGTACAACACGGGTGCACTTACCTACACGCAGGCAATACACACATACACATAAAATAAAAATAATAAATAAAATATGAAAAAAAAATTGGGGTGTGTTACGAGTGTGTTGGCCCATGCCTTTAATCCCAGCAATTGGGAGGCAGAGGCAGGGGGAATCTATGTGAGTTCAAGGCCAGCCTGGTCTACACAGTGAATTCTATTCCAGACCAGTCGGGTCTATGAGAAGCCTGTCTCAAAAAAAAGAACATCCCTCTGGTGTGTCGGGGCTGGAGAGGTGGCGGCCCAGTGGTTAACAGCACTGGCTGCTCTGGCAGAAGACCAGGGTTTGATTCCCAGCACCCCTATGACAGCTAACAACCACCCATAACTCCAGTTCCAGGGATCTGACACCCTCCTCTGACCTCTGTGGGCATTGCACGACATGGGTACACCTATCTACATGAAGGCAATACTCACATACACATAAAACAATAAAAATAAAAAACAGGGTATGGTGGAAAGGCAGAGATAGGTGGACCCCTGGGGCTTACTGGCCTGTCAGCATCATCAGCAAGCCCTAGGTCCCTATACAGACTTTGTCTCAAAAAGCAAGGTGGGGCTAGAAATGGTGGCATATGCCTTTAATGCCAGCACTCGAGAGGCAGAGGCAGGCAGGTGGATCTCTGTGAGCTCAAGGCCAGCCTGGTCTACATAGTTAGTTCCAGGACAGCTGGGGCTACAGGGAGACCCTGTCTCAAAGACCAACCCCCTCAACCCAAAGCAAGGTGGAGCTAGAAAAATGGCTGAGTGGTAAAGAGCACTGGTTAAGAGTTCTGCTTGCAGAACACCCTGGTTTGGTTCCTAGCACCCATATGGCAGCTAACACAGGTGCACTTACCTACATGCAGGCAACACACTCATATACATAAAATGAAAATAATACATATTTTTAAAAAATGTATTTATATTTTAAAATAAATATTTTAAAAAAATTCTGCATCAGCTGTCACGTCAATAAACTGACAACCTGCTGCCCCCTTGTGTTCACAGTAGTAAATACCAGAATAACAGACCATGCCTGAAATTAGCAAAGTCCGAACTGCCCAATTACTGATGTGCCTCAGTAGAGAAGGATCTGGCTAGTAGAAGTATCAAAATCTCTACAGGATACTAACCCGATCAGAATGAAACTTCCAGAAAAACAGCCTTAGTGAGCTATGTCTTAAAATTCCAACAGAACAGCACTCTCCTCACAAACAGGCTCCCTTCCCCCTAGGCTCACCTCTGAAGCTTCAATGGCCAAATCCATTTCTTCATCACAGACATTGGACCAAAACTCTATGCCCTGTAGGGCCACCTCATCAATGTCACTTTTCATTGCTTCGATTGTGATCTTAGAGAGAGACAGAGAAAAAAAAGACACCTCAGACCCCAAGAACCTGTGCACATTCAAATTAGACATCCCTTTAGCCAGTCAAAAAAAGTAATTTATGAAAAACAGGTGAAAAGTTTAAAGACTTTAAAATATATGCCTTTTAACAACCAAAGACAGTTTAAATTTTCTTGGCACACAAGCTTAAACTTACCACTCACAGTGGACCATGCCGCCTGTAATCCCAGCCTTTGGGAGACTGAGGCAGGAGGACCTCTGAATTTGAGGTCAGCCTGGACTTCATAGTGAATCCAGGACAACCTCAGGTACAACATGATACTGTAGCTCACCAAAATAAAAAAAGCCAACGAGCCCTAACACTCAGACTCAAGTAATTTTCTTGATTCCATAATATTGTTATAAAAACACTTTCACAGGCTAGGTGTGGTGGTGCATGGACAATGTGTGACTTCACAGACCACCTGCATAATAAAGTGCAGAGGCAAGCAGATCTCTGTGAGTTCAAGGCCAGCCTGGTCTACCATAGTGCATTCCATGTCAGCTGGGGCTACAGTGAGACCCTGTTTCAAAAAACCAAAAACCAAAACTAAAATTGGGCATGTAGTGCACACCTATAGTCCTAGCACTTGGGAAGCAGAGGCAGGCGGATCTCTGTGAGTTCAAGGCCTGCCTGGTCTACATACATAGTGAGTTCCAGGCCAACTGGGGCTGTAGGAAGGTGCTGTCTCAAAAAGACCCCCCCCTCAAACAAACAAAAATACCCAACAACAAAAAAAAGAAAAACAACAACAAAAAGCCCTTAACCCTTACAGAAATACAAAATAGCAATTGGGACTATGAGCCCAGAAATTATCTACAAGTTCAAATCACACCACAGAAATACTTACTGCAAAAAGAGCAGGACCCATGTATGTCTCCATGTACTGATAATACAAAGACATTATCTTCACTAGATTCTGCAGAGCAGCCACTCGTACCTTTTAGGAACAGATAAAATATTATTACTAAAATAATAACGCAATTTGCAAAGACAGACCCCACTGAGTCAATAATCTAGGTATGAGTAATGCTATGTTTACCCAAATTAATCTGTCCCTGAATTCACCATCCCTTCTTAATTTTATCCCCCTGTACCCCCCTTATGATGCCTGAGATACCTATAGTAGCACTAAACTCACTAGTGCTATTTAGACTAAGGATATTTCTTTCACTAACTTCATGAGTCAAATTTAGTTTACAGCAGTAACAATGCTATTTCAATGTCTTCAATGGAAAATAATCACTTGAACAACCTATGTCACTGTAACAGCAAAGCTGATCAGAATCTCTTAAATCTTCCTAGAAGCTTTCATTATATATGCTGTACAACATTTTTCATTAACGACAGGATTACTCAGACCTTGTTTTCTTAGTTCATAGCAATATTTTTCATAGGACCAAACTTACCCTTGTATCTGGACACTGTGTGGCTTCACAGACCACCTGCATAATAAAGTGCCTTTCAGACTGCAGAAAGAATGAAGAGAATTAGGAAAGCATGAATTGGACAGAGGAAGGTTACTAAGGTTACTGGAGTCTGCCTCTGCCCCGATACAAGCCAGCACCCTTCCTAGAGGCTGTAATTACAAAAGGGGACTATGAGGAATTTGCCTCCAGTGTCTTCAATACCACCCTGCCCTGCAAGGAAGTCTTTAATCTTTTAATTTTCTTTTCTGGTCTTTTTGAAACAGGGTCTCCTTGTAGCCCCAAATGACCTGGAACTCACTACATAGACCACTCTGGTCTACAATATTTTTCTTTTCTTTTTTTTAGACAGTCTCCCTGTAGCGCCAGCTGTCCTGGAACTCACTATGTAGACCACGCTGGCCTTGAACTCAGAGATATGCCTGCCTCTCCCTCCCAAATGCTGGGATTAAAGGCATGTGCCATCATGCCCAGTTTAGCCTTAATCTCTTAATCCTCCTGCCTCCATCTTCTAACAGCTGGAATTACAGGTGTCTGCTACTATGCACAGCTGGAATCTTTGTTCTTAACTGGTGAGCCACCTCTCCAGCCCAACTGGATTAAATTAATCTTTTAATTTTCATGATAACTTTCACAAACAAGACATAAAGAGGAAGCAGACAGGAAGACATAGGTCATAGGTTAAATTAAGAATGGCTGGTGAGGCCGGGCGTGGCGACACACGCCTTTAGTCCCAGCACTCAGGAGGCAGAGGCAGGTGAGTTCAAGGCCAGCCTGGTCTACTTAAAGAGTTCCAGGACAGCTGGGGGACTACAGGGAGATTCTGTCTTTAAAAACAAAAAGAGAAAAATATTTTATTTCACAGACCAAATTTGTTTTCTGTGAATTAACAATTTCACATGACACATAGCAAGGGGAGGACAAAATAGTGGACCTTATCTATTACTCTTCCTAAATTACCTATGAGCTTTTAAAAGGAAAACTATTTCCTGATCAATTAAAATTGTAGTTTGTGAGCCAGAGATGGCTCAGTGATTAAGAACACTGGCTGCTCTTACAGAGGATCCAGGTTTGATTCCCAAAACCCATGACAGCTAACCATGTATAACACCAGTTCTAGGAAATCCGACATCCTCTTCTGACCTCTGCAGGCATTTTACCTACGTGGTCTTACGTACATGCAGGCAAACACTCATACACATAAAATATTTAAAATTTCATTTTTCCTCTGATACTCTATCCAAAGCCAAGAAATAATAAAAAGCTGAGCCAAGCCGGGCGTGGTGGCGCTCACCTTTAGTCCCAGCACTTGGGAGGCAGAGGCAGGCGGATCTCTGTGAGTTCAAGGCCAGCCTGGACTACACAGTGAGTTCCAGGACAGCTGGGGCTACAGGGAGACCATGTCTCAAAAGGACAAAAAAAAAAAAACAAACAAAAAACAAAAAACAAAAAAACAACGGAAATTGTGGGCAGCACCCACCTTTAACCCCAACACTAGAAGCAGATCACTGAGCTCTAGGCTAGCTAGGGCTATACAGCAAGAGACACTGAGACCCTGTCTACAAAGACAGATGAACCTTAAAGACATTATGCTGGGGCTAGTGAGATGGCTCAGTGGTTAAGAACACTGGCTGCTCTTGCAGAAGACCCGGGTTCAAATCCCAGCACCCACACGGCAGCTAACCGTTCAGTTCCAGGGGATGTGATGGTCTCTTTTCCTCTGTGGGCATTGCATGACATGGTACACTTACACAAAGGCAGTACACTCATAAACGTAAAATAATATTAAAAAACATTTAAGAAGACATTACACCAACTGAAATAGTCTTGTCACAAAAAGCCAAGTACAGGCTGGTGAGATGTCTCACGGTAATGGCACTTGCTGAGCAAGCCTGGCAACCTGAGTTCGATCCCCAGAACCCCCACAAAATTGAAAGGAGGGAAAAGATGCCACAAAGTTGTCCTCTGACCACTAGATGCACCAAGTTTCCCCACATTCTATATACATAACACACAATAAATTTAACTTTAAAAAAAATTTTTTTGGTCGTTTTGAGACCGGGTCTCCCTGTAGCCCCAGCTGTCCTGTAATTCACTATGTAGACCACTATGTAGACACTATGGCTTTGAACTCACAGAGATCCACTTGCCTCCGCCTCCCAAGTGCTGGGATTAAAGGCATGCACCACCACCCATGGCTAGTAAAAAACTTTTTTATAAAAAGGCAACTACTGTCTGGAGTAGTCAAAACTTACAGGAAGAAAAAGTAAGTGTGGCTGCTAACAGCTGTGGTTTGGAGAAAAGTTCAATGGGTCAAGACTATAACTTTCTTAAGACTGCTTCTAGCCAGGCGTGGTAGCGCACGCCTTTAGTCCCAGCACGCAGGAGGCGGAAGCAGGCAGATCTCTGTTAGTTCAAGGCCAGACTGGTCTACAAAGTGAGTTCCAGGACAGCTGAGGCTACAGGGAGACCCTGTATCAAAAAGATCAAAAGAAAAAAAAAAAAAGAAGGTGAATCTGGTATTTTATCACATCATGTATCATACAGTTCTTCAAAACCATAAGGAGATGGGGGCTGGAGAGATAGCTCAGCGGTTAAGAACATTAACTGCTCTTGCAGAAGACCTGGGTTCGAATCCTAGCACCCACATGGCAGCTAATAACTGTCCATAACTCCAGTTCCAGGGGATCCAACAGCCTCTTTGACCTCTGCAGGTACTGCACGACACAGGTGCACTTACCTACATGCAGGTAATACACGCATGAACATAAAATAAAAAAAATTTTTTTAAATTAAAAAAAGAAAAAGCATAAGGAGGTAAGAAACTGCCTAATTGCTTTAACTTTTTAAAATCATAAGTATTCCCACAGTTCTGCCTAAAGAGAAATGGCAAACAATCTGCTCATGGTAGGATTTCTAAATCTTAAAAACTTAAAAACAATGCTTTCGTTTGAGCCTGTCAATCCTCAATCTTGGGATCTCTATCATTTGTCAAAAGAAACGCACCTCTTTGTCAAAGTTCGCTTTGGTGAACTCCAATGAGTTCAGGAGTGCATTGGTAGCAGCCAGCTTCACATTATTGCTAGGCTCTTCTTTCCTCATCCCCTGGATTATGGCAGTCAGAATCTCATTGGATTTGTCCTGTAGCTGCTCTGGGTCCTAAAAGGAGCAGAAAAACAATGAACACAACCATGCTCATGACTGGCCAGCATGACCCAAATCCACTCAAGTGAGTACATGGATTTTGACCTTTTCCCACATTTCCACATGGACGAGCACTGCAAAGCACCTGCAAAATATCCCATAGTTTCAGGGAACAGCAAGATGGTTTAGTAAAGACACTTGCTGCCACACCTGACAACCCAAGTTCAGTCCCTGGGATTACATGGTGAAGGAGAGACAACTCCGACCCCTGTGAAGAAATAAATGTAAGCTGGGTGTGGTGGTGCACACGTTTGATCCCAACACTTTGGGAGGCAGTGTGAGTTCAAGGCCAGCTTCGTCTACATAGTGAGTTCCAGGACAGCTCGGGCTACAGGGAGACCCTGTCTCAAGAAGACTAAGTAAGTAAGTAAGTAAATAAATAGCCAACCCAGCACTTGGGAGGCAGAGGCAGGAGGATCTTTTTGAGATTGAGGCCAGCCTGGTCTACATAATGAATTCCAGGTCAGCTGGGGCTATAGGGAGACCCTGTCTCAAAAATAAATAAATGCCTATAATCCCACCACTTGGGAAATGGAGGCAGAAAAAGTAGAAATTCCAGGCCAGCCTTTGCTATATAGTGAATTCAAGGTCAGTTTGGAATACAGAAGACTCTGTCTCAAAATAACAGTAATAAAATCCAATATGGATTTCCACTGTGTTTATTATTTTTATTTCTGTCCTGGAGATGACACTTTAGGAACGCTATCATCAAGGTACACACCAGCCTCAGCCCCATTTTAAGTTTGTGACCTTCAAGTTTCTTTACTTCAGAGCATGACTAGTGATTTGAAGACAGGGATCCAAATTAAATAAAATAATGCTATCATAGCATCTGTGTTTTCTCCCCCCATGATCTGATAGAGAAATTCTAATACAATTTGTGTCAGTTTGTGTGGTAGCGCACACCCTTAATCCCAGTGCTTGGGAGGCAGAAGCAGAGGTTCTTTGTGAGTTCAAGGCCAGACTGGTCTACATAGCGAGTTCTAGGTCAGCTGGGGCTACAGGGAGACCCATCTCAAAAACAACAACAACAACAACAACAACATCAACAACAACAAATCAAAGATATATAAAACGTATGTCCTAGACAAGTACTTACTATGTCTTGGCAAATGTAACCAATAGCTTCCAATGTTGACTCTTTCATATGCTCGGTGCTGTTGGGGTTTGTGACATTGGCTACCAGTTGAGGAATGAGTTCTGGCCACTGGTTTACTGGGATCTCTGCACAAGCAATACCAGCCACACATTGTGAGGCAGAACTAGGCCGATAAGTTTCTGTGCCCAAGGTCTGCAAAACCTGGGTAGAATAAAAGCGGGAGGGAAAACAATTTATCAATTTGTGACACTTTCTCAGCCTATTTTGCCCACCACCACACCTCATATCAACATTTGACCTCTACTCCCCTACCCTACAAAGATCTTCCTGAAGTACCAACAGTATTCTCCAGAACCTAAGAGCAAAACCACACTGAGCTTGGGACAGTACTATAAATGGAGGATGCTCACTGCCTTGTTCTGTGGACAGGAAATAGGGGTTATAGGATGAGACGAACTCTTGAGCACTGAGGGGATAACTCACAGACTAGCCTAACCCGACTCATGGAAGTGATCTCACCAGTGGTATGAACAAATCTTTCAGGTTACTAACAGCCTAGTACTACTTACACAAAAAGACTTGGGTTAAACAACATCAATTAAATGGTACCAAAATCTGGGGCTGCAGAGATGGTTCAGCAGTTTAGAGTGTATACTACTCTTGCAGAGGACCAGAGTTTGGTTCCCAGAATCCATGTTGGGCAGCTCAAGACTGCCTATAATTCCAGCTTCAGGGGATCTGATTCTTCTGCAGGTACTCACATACACATGCACAGTCACACACACAGATACACAAATAAAAACAGAATCCTTTTTAAAAAAATCTAAGAATTAACCATTATGTAATTTTCAATCTCAGAGGATTATTTCTATAGGCCTAGGAATCACTTTAATCACCACCAAGTAGTCAGATATGCCAAATGGAGATCCAGTTGTCATTAGCACATCTCACTGGAAGTGGTAACTAGAAGCATTTATATAAGGGAAAGGTTCAGTAAAGGATGAAGCCACAATTGGCCCAAGATTAAGTATTGTCACAATCAGCTAATTTAGACCATGAACTCACTAAGAATCACCAGTTCACTCAAAGGCAAACAGTTAACTGTTCCTGGCATGAACACGGGACAAAGAATAGCTGCCAGATAATCAGGCCAGCTCTGTTGACTGGTCAGGTCACTTAGTACCCTGCTTTGTAGGTATCAGCTGATAATGATTCCTCTGTCTTTCACTCTTATACAGCATGCATTCTACCTGCCAGCCCTCACCCCAACAGCTCCACCTAGTAACAAACAGTTCTAAGTGAAGGTGTTGGTCCCAACCAGCAGAGCTAAATTGAATGTTAATAAAAACTGTATCTCAGGGCTGGAGAGATGGCTCAGTGGTTTAGAACACTGGTTGTTCTTGCAGAAGACCCAGGTTTGAATCCCAGCCCCCACATGGCAGCTAACAACTGTCTGTAACTCCAGTCCCAGGGGGTCCGACAGCCTCTTCTGACCTCCGCGGGCGCTGCATGACATGGGTGCACTTACCTACATGCAGGCAATACACACATACACATAAAATTTAAAAAAAAACAAACAAAAAACAACAGCAAAAAACAAACAAAAAAAACTGTATGTCAAAGACACAAAACAGTGGACAGGCTGGCTGGTGCCTATAATCTCAGCACACAGGAGGCTGGGGCAGAGAGGTCAACGTTGAGCCCAAGGCCAGTTGGGCTACATAGTAAAATCCTTTCTAAAAAAAAAAAGCAAAATGAGGTACAGGGGCTGAAGAGGATTAATCCAATCTGATTTAAGTTCCAACCTAGGGTGCCATCTTTTTGAGTTGGGCCTGGTAGCATATGCTTGTAATTCCAGCACTAGGGAGAGGCTGAGGCAAAAGAACCAGGAGTTGGAAGCCAGTCTGAATTATAGTTAGACACCTTGTTGAGATTCTGCAGGGTATAGTGGTATCTTGCCTTTAATCCCAGCACACTGGAGGCAGAAGATGGATCTCTGTGACATTAGAGCCAGCCTGGTCTCCATGAGTTAGTTCTAGGCCAGCTGGGACTATAGGGAGACCCTACCTCAAAATAAAACAAAAAGCAAAAAAACACCTTCCAAACAATAAAAATGAGATTTTTTTCAGGGACAGAATATACTTCATTTATAGCAAACAGCTGAAGGAGTGGGTTAAATCTCAGTACACAAGCAGGAACAATCTGGCAAGAAATAGCTTTATATACCCCTAAGAGATTCAAAACAAGCTGGCTTTTATAACTTGAGCTTCCTGTCATAGACACTACAAAGAATGACTGGGGAAGGAGGCTGGGAGCCAGGAAGAGAAGTACTCAAGGGGCACTAATTTGCCTAACACTGGTATCTAGAACCAAGAAACAGCAAATAGGATGCCCATAACCACACTCTGGAAAAGTACAGACAGAAATCCCCACTGTGTCCACCTTGAATACCTAGAGCAGATTATGACCACACAGATATTTAACTTACTCTGCTTCCTTTGGCCCTTATCCATGTAATGCAGACCACTAAGTAACTTTATTAATTCAAATCAAGAAAGACAAATCTCCCTATATATTCAGTCCTGTGTTTTACACAGATGGACTTCTAATTCAACAAGAAAATCATAAAAATGCTATGATATACACCACAAAGAACACTGATGCCCTCAAATTCTTCAACTGGCTGTCAATACTTCAGGAAGCATGTGTCTCAAGGTTTTTCAGTTTTCTAAGTAAACAGAGAACCATGAATGTTCTACTCCTACTTTGCAAACTCTTTATACCTCAAAGACCCAAGAGCTTACTGAATTCTCCCTCTGATTTCACATCCTATCATGTTTGAACCACCAAAGAATGAAACTATCAACCACAGAAGTTCAACAAAAGCTGGCTGACTGAAAGAAATCACTTGGGAAGACAATTAAATACCCCTAAGAATATAGTCATGAAGCCAGGTGTGGTGGTGGTACACCCTTTTAATCCCAGCACTTGGAAGGCAGAAACAGAGCTCTGAGTTCAAAGCTAGCCTGGTCTACCTAGTGGAGCTCCAGGTCAGCCAGTACTACATATAGAACCCTTCTCAAAAAAAAAAAAAAGAATGTAGGCATGACAGCACACACTCATGACAACACATACTTAGGAGGAGGATGACAGAGGATCAAGGCTGACATTGAGGCCTTGGTTACATACCAAGTTCAAGACAAGCCTAGGCTACATAGAGGCCACATGTAAAACCTATCACAAAATTAAAAAAATGGGAGGAGGATCCCTGAGGTGGGCCTGGTGGCATATGCCTATAATCCCAACCCTCTCTAAAGCTCCTAAACACACAAAATACTGTATGTAATGTGTATCCTTAAAAAATATATATACATGCCGGGCGTGGTGGCACACGCCTTTAACCCCAGCACTTGGGAGGCAGAGGCAGGTGGATCTCTGAGTTTGAGACTAGTCTGATCTACATAGTGAGTTCCAGGACAGCTGGGGCTACAGGGAGACCTTGTCTCAAAAACAGTAAATAAATAATTTTTCTCTCATATGGTGCTAAAGATAGAGCCTGAGGCTGTGCACAAGCTAGAGAGATCTCTACCAGTGAGCTAAACTCCACACATTTGGAGACAGATTATAAATATAATTCCTTAGGCGATTATGATAAATAGCACCAAAATTTCTACTTCTCCATTTCTACAAAGATATCCAATTAAAGTTTCCCAAACTGCTTCTGGCTACCTCAGTCAGCTCAAACAAAATTCCAGGCCAAATAAGCTGAACTGAGAAGTTTTAATCAAATACAACTTTTACCATGAGGTCAAGCTTAGGTCTCAGAAACCTATTAAACTGTCAAGTTCTATGCCATGCAAGTGACCAAGAATTGACAATGCTGCTCCTTGGGCCACATGACAGCAAAGACATGGAAGTTACTTACGTAGTTTTTGACTTCCCGTCGAGCATTAGCATCAATAGCAAGCCACCTCTGCTGATATTGTGCCTTTATATCTGGATCTTTCGATGTCAAAGAGTTCTTGATTTGTAGACCAGCTGCGACTCTGGCAACCTGACTGTTTCCTGGATTTGCCAGCACTCTGGACAGTTCCACAAGGAACGTAGGCTGTTGAGAGAAAATGCTTTTGTGAATGAATCAGGAATTTCAACATCTCAGGACTGCTTGTAGACTCCCAACTTACTGAAGGGGAGGGGCACACAAAACAAAACAAGCCCCACCCCAATGACTTTTTAGGATATATTGAAATGTCTCAATAAACTACAAAATTATCTATTTGAAGCTGGGCATGCTCACTGTCCTAACCTTCAAGTCTAAGGCAGGAGATTTGCTTGAGTGCAAGAACTGAAGGCCAGCCCAGCCAGAGTAACAAGAACTCACTTCGAAATAATAAAATCCTGTAAAAACATTACTTACTATATGCAGAGACAAAGACTTCCTGTTAAGACCATCTTTTGTGCCCAAATCTTCCTATTAGACTCCCAGAATCAAAGCAAGTTTAACAACCTGGTAGTTAAAGTTGGGCATGGAGGTGCACACCTTTAATCTCAGCACTTGGGAGGCAGAGGTAGGGGATCTCTGTGAGTTCCAGGCCAGCTGGGGCTACACAGAGACCCTGTCCCAGAAAGACCAAAAAACAATGACAACAACAAAAAACAACACCCTGGTAGTTAATGGATTATCCTAGGTACAACAAGGTTTCCTAAACATGTACAAGAACACCTGATACTCAGTATTTGTTGAATGAATGACAAAGTAGAAAGTTTCATACTTCAATAACAAAAATCTTAGTCCAAAAATAATACTCAGGGCAGCTTTTGATCTCCTGTTTGCAGGTGATCTTTTTTTTAGTTTTAGTCTTTTTGAGACAGGGTGCTGAGTGCTGGGGTTAGTCACACACCACCACGCCCAATCCATGATTTTTTAAAAAATTATTTATCTGTATGAGTGTACTGCCTGCAGAGGTCGCCATATCCTCTGGAACTATTAGCCTTCATGTGGGTGCTGGGAATCAAACTCAGGTCTTCTGCAAGAGCAGTCAATGCTCTTAACCACTGAGCTAGCTCCAGCCTAGTATATCATCTTTTATAAGTGAGACATATATAAATCTAAGGCAGATGTAAGAGCCTTGTCCTCTACATTTTAATTGTGAGTGTTCAGCAAAAGGGAAACAAACACCTTATCTGTAAGTAAAAGTGATAACAAGTATTTAGAAATAGGAAAACCAAAAAGATAAAAATGGGAAGGCAAGTTGTCCCAAGGAAGATGTAATAGCCAACAGGCACGAAAGGCTCTTAAACATTCTGGTCTTAAATTGTCCACTAAAACAGTGAATCCTCCCCAAACACCCAATCATTTCTAATACACAAGCCCGAAAAGATAAAGGTTGTCTAAAGTTCTAACTCATTCATTCCTTTTCTGGTACCATAAAAAATAAAAATCCTGGAAACATTGGTTGTTCTTGCAGAAGACCTGGGTTCAAATCCCAACACCACATGGCAGCTAACAACGGTCCTAACTCCAGTTCCAGAGGCTCTGACAGCCTCTTCTGTCCTCCGCGGGCATTGCACGACATGGGTGCACTCATACATACAGGCAATACACTCATACCCATAAAATAAAAATAAAGAAAATATAAAAAAATAAAAATCTTGCCCAAATATGAAAGCCAAGGGAGAAGTTAAAAGCCCATACATTTTCTAACTACTAGCAAGCTCTATGACGTGTCTTATTATGTGTCATTAAAGAATGTTAGCAAGATAAAAGCTTCAGGTTGGTGTGCCCGAACCCGCCTTTAATCTTAATCGAAGCACTCATGAGGCAGCAGCAAGAAGATCTCACAGAAATGAAGGTCAGCCTGGTCTACAGAAAAAAAAAAAAAAAAAAAAAAAAAAAAAAAAAGAAAAAGTTTCTTGAAAATTAGCAATAGTAAAACCAAGAATATATCTTAAGTGGAATTGTGAGTCTACAGTAACTAAGGAAAATCTTTTCTGGGTAAAGTTAAAAAATAAAGGTAGCTTACCTACGTACCAAAAAGGGGGGTGGGATCAAAAGCAGTTTGTATATGAGGTTTGTCACTTTGGGGCTATTATTATTTTGCCAAGATACCACAATGGAACACATTCCGTTACAATGCTATTTGCACTTTTTTACCTTTAGCAGACAGCCATCCAGTACCATTCACCCTTCCCTCTGCTCCCCACCCCAACAGCAGAGGGTCACCAAAGAAACATTTCTGGCACCAGGCTGTTTCAACCAATCCATCTCACATATTCCTATACAAAGGTTAGTCTCAAGTAGACTTATCTTTATACAGCCCTTAAAATCTGAAAATACGAAAAACGGGGAACTCTGTGATTTCATCATGAAACAGGCCCTATCAAGAACGCGCTCCAGTCTGTGGCAGGGTACATATCCCTAACGATGAGGTCTCTATTTATTCTAGTCCAAACAGACGTGTACACATTTATCCCAAGAGAGGGTTAATCCGGTAGCAAAGGGAAAAATAGGGGCAATGGGTTCAGAACCAGTAGTGTGCCGGGCCTGCCCATGAGCACAGACCAGGGGAGGGAGGGCAGGGTAGGGATCTGGAAAGTAGGTGCAGACAGCCACAGAGGCCACGGGACAGGAAGGAGAAGCCGGCCCAGGGCTGCAGAGACCAGCAGCCCAGCCTGAAGCTTCCACATGGCCTCTAGGCCCGGCTCCCCACCCCCACCCTCGCTGAACACGCAGCGCCGCGCAACCTAACTTCCCTTCCCTCCTTTTCGCCCTACCGCTGCACCGCGGCCCTTAGGCCGCCCAGCGATTGGACGGCGGTCACGACTGCGCGCCTCACCATTGGCCACTCGCGGTGCCCGGGGCGGGACACACCCACCGGCTTCCCGATGGCGGGGTTAGGTTGGACCGGGAGGGATTGGGAGGGGGGACGAGGAGGACGAGATGGGGGGGGCCGAGGGGGACGAGAGGGACGAGATGGGGCGGGGGGGGTTCCCGCGGCCTGGGCCTCCGGGAGGGTGGTAAGGCCCACACGAAGAGATGGGG